TCTGTGAGAAGCTGGGGTCGATGTAAATGAGTCGGAGCAGAGATATCAGTGAATGGGTTGGGGATTGAGCCAGTAGGAAATGGAGGACAGAGTTGATCACAGTTCTCAAGGTCCGTCACTATCGCCAGGAAAGATCTGATACCGATGACCATTTTTTCCGGCTCCATCTGTTCGATTTTGAGCTCTCTTCCGGAAAGGAAAAGGTCCGAGTTTATCAAGGGAAAAATGATGTTGCGGAAGCAGACATCGGGGTGTTTGAAGCCGATCATGCGAACCAGCTGTATGAGGGGCTCGGCAACTGCGGGATCTGTGCTCAAGTACGACCTTTTGCCAGCTGGCAAGGCTATTCGGGCAACCTCCTCAACTTTTCGGAGGGTCACGGTTGGGGAGTCTGTGTAGCGAAAGAAATACGTCCACAATAGACGGCACATAGCTTGGAGGGCCGGGCCCCGTGTTGGACGGTCTTTCAGTCTTGCAGGAAGACCTTGAACAACCGAGAGCCATTGAGACGAGAATACCTCCTTTGAAGAGACACATAATAGCAGTACGTGAAGAGGAAAGGCAGCGGCCCAGTGACGGGGCTTAGTTAGCATTTGGGATAGGCGAGATTGAACCAAATCCAGGAATTCTTTCCACTTGGGTAAGCTGAGATCGCAGCTCGAACTCGCCGCTACTGGCAAGAGGAGTTTCTCGAAAATGTAACAGTAAGCCTGTTTGACGCGCTGCCCGTGAGCATTGGCAAACAAGCGTGCCAATGATCGCATGAAGTCGCATGATTTACTCCAGTTATCCGAGTAGGTCCCGATACGAAGGTGTCTCATTCCCAAGATCAAAAGTTCTGCTCGAGAGTCACCCTCCTTTGACGGTCCACGGAGCATTTCTTCCTTCTGATACCGTTCGAGTTCTGCTAAGAAGCGACCAGTGACACTCGTGAAGTTCGTCTCGCTCATGATACCAAGCAACTGGGAATAGATCCGCCAATTAGCCATGCGAAGCGGTGACGCTGATATCTGATCCGGGTCAACTGTCTTGAGTTGACCAAAGACGATGTCCTCCAAACGCTCAGCCATGTCAATCGTTATGGAGGCTATATTGCTCTGGTTGAATATCTCAATCAAGACTCTGCAAACAAGGTACACGGACACAGTCGCACGGCGCTCAGCTAAAACGACATCTTCTTGCCGTGTTAGAATGGTGCTGGACGTCGAAGAATCTGTTTGCGCTGCCGAATCAACAGCGTTTTGGGACGGCTCTGTGTTACGACGCACGATGGGCCCATTATCAGAGGTAGACGGCTTCTGCTAAAGCACGAGTCAGCTTCTGGCTTAACCCTTCAATGATATATGGACCATGGGCTTCAAGATCTCGTGACATACTTGACTAGCCTGCTTAGCCATTATGGCAGCGTCTCCTTTGGCTTTTCGCCATAGCATTATGGTGTCGATCAACGGCTTTGGTTTCTGTCGCGAGATGTGGCCCAGAGCTGAGATCAATTGATCGAAGTTGGGATCCACGCCAGGGCCGCAAACCTCTTCTACCGGAGCATCCGAATGGCCTAGCTTCATAATGGCTTGATTGACCTTGTTGTCTGCCTGACCGACGAACTGATGAAACAGTCAGTACGGTTTTCTAACGTTGTGTACAAAAACATCGTGCTCACGGAATTAAAAAGATGGTGCAAGGCATATTCGCCGACAGTCTTGGATTCCGAGTGTTGCTGTCTCGAGTGTGAGCGGCTATGAGAACGCTCCTTCCAGGATTTTCCGCCCGAGTTCATCCTTCTATGCACCGAGCTCGCCGGGTTTGTGTTGCCGACTTCGCCAGTATCCTGATCCTCAATGGTACTCAAGGGCCCTTGCAAGATATGGCTCGTCCCATTGCCTCCAGGGCTATGATGACTCTGGGGCATCTCGTTCTGATCCAACCGCACTGCGCCAGCTATCTCCTGTTCATTTCCAGCGCCGCGGCCGAGGGACGCGATCAACTCGGGACTCAGAGGACTGGTAGAGTTGGACGAAGCCGCAAAACTCGGATTTCGAGAATGCTGGACGCCATGGACAATCGAAGTCTGTCGATGGTGGCCGTATGAGTTCGAGGGCCTTCTTTCGAGGCTGACATCGTATCCTATACCAGGGCGTGCAGCAGTTGGATCGGGACTTTTCGAATGAGATTGGCCACGGCGATTATTCTGAGGCTGTAGCGTCGAGGGGGCTAGAGCGGATGTATCGGCTGCTCTTCCCCTCACAGCGGAGGCTTCTCGACTATGAATGACGGACGCAGGAGTGCTCCTTGTAACCAGGCGTTCTGGAGGGGAGGAAATATTATGGTGCGACGCGAGACTAGAATCGTCAGGGATGAGGGGCATTGTCGTTGGCTGGATGAGCCCAGCTTTACTCGTTGGATGCGATGCCGCTACATACGGGATCAGACGTCAGTAACTCGCAGTCCGCATTCTAATAATACCACGTCGGAGGATATATGGCAATAAATCACATCCACTTGTTTGATCAGAGATGCAAGCCCGAGCAAAAAAAGGAAAGTGTTTCATGTGGTGAGACTGATCAAGAAAAGTCCGAAAATGCGGTCACTTACTACTATTGTGCTGCATCATGTTATTTGATCCACAGTCACGCCGTGCTGGAGCTCATATTCACAAGAGCAAAAGAATTCACAGAGACTTGTGAGCAGCACATTGTTGCTCAGTGGCTCTGGAATCAGAAGAGTTGGTGGTGCTGGAGGTGGTCTGAAGGCGTGAATTTGTTGCGATAAGCTGTTTGGGCATTTGTTTGTTGCGTGACGGCGACCGACAAGGCTTGAGCACGGGGTTTCGATGGGTCCTCATCAACATCATGACCGATCGGCTCAATAGCTCACATCTGAAACTCATGCTACTCATTTTGTGGATGTGAGATTCGTGTGGCTCTCCAGTAAGTATTTCGTCGGCCTCATTTACCTAAGGAAATTGTGAGAAGCCTGCTCTGGGACGCTCTTTTACTTTACAAGGATGCCGAATTGGTGGTCGAACCTATATATTGTACTCTATATTGCTCCATCCTACTACGGAGAAGGAATCGAACCCTTAATCTTAAGATACCTCTCTATGGTAATCAAATCAGCCAAACAAGACCTGACTCTTTGTTGCCTAGGCAAAAGCCAATCATCCTGTGTTATTGCAGATCAGCCTCTCATATTGCGTTCTCGACAGTTGTTCGTCTACTGGAATGGGATTGCCATCTGAGTTCGGTCATATAAATATACTACTACTGAAGTTACACATGAGCAAAGGGCAGACTCAATATGCTACATCGTTGGATAACGGATAGAATGACGCATGTTGAGAGAGAAAAATCCAGGATATCGTTGATATCTACAGAGAGATTCTAGTTCAAGTCAAATACTCTTGTGCTTTTTAGTAGGGTCTAGGTTGTTGCAGGAGACTGTTCTAGTTTTCCGCATAATACAACTTCGTTTCTATGTCTACAGAGTACATATAGGACCTAGTCAGGCGGCGAAATAATAACGTGAAGCGGACTACTCTGTATATTCAAGGAAGTAGACATCTGCTAAAAACCGAATGGTTTAAAAGAGTGACTGACTGATTCGGAATCCATCAATAAGAAAAGCTTGACAAAAAGTAGCGCCACGCACGGTGCGGAATCCTCCCGTTCTACCTTCCGCTGCGCAGATGCAATACCCAGAGGACCAACTTCCACAAGTTGCTGAACGACGGAAATGATCAACATCCTGTCTGTTGAAGGCTTGAAGAAGGCTAAGTCTCCGGGGTCCGGTTGACAATACCCCAGTGTTACGGGGAATCTATGACAGAACTCTCAATCTGATAGGTCGGTATCCGATAACAGGGCGAGATCTCATTTGCAGAATAACGCTTCATTTCTGTTCAATTATGTACTGTGGGTGGATGCGAGAGGGCGAGGAACTCGAGGGTTCATTATTTGTTCCGATGAGTTTTATAACTCATGCTTTATTGTAACCATCGTATCCAATTAGTCTGTCTAGTGTACGGAGTATGGAGTATGCGCGATATATCCATGATGTGTAAAGCATAGGCAGCACACTACCGATAATGAGCTCGTAGGTCTTCTCTTCATGCTCGTCTCTCTACTCGACAAACCGCGCTTGAATCGTGGGACACGCTGTGATTTACCATTTCAAAGGCGGAACTCGGCTAGCAACACTTTTCGGCAGGATTAATCGGGAGATTTCCCCATGTGAAGCCAAACAGATCCATGTGGGCAACCCGCCAACTCCAGCGGACACGCCACCTCCAGTCTTTTGTGCGATTGATATGTAGACATCTTGAGGGACCGAAGTTCCCTTCCGATCCAGACCTTATCGGTAGCCGAAGGTTATCGCTACTGGAAGGATGTACTATAAAATAGTCTTCCTTGGCCTGTTCCCCGCCTCCATGCAAGGAGAATCCTGACGGAAGACGAAGGAATTCTGGTTCTAATTATTCTTTCGCATCCTCGCTGAGCCTGTATCCTTTTAACTTTTTCCCCTTCTGTGCTGCCCATCACGTGCGAGCATATCTTCACTGCACTATTTTACCTTAGGATCACCCGCCACTATCACCAGAACTGTCCCCGGAGGTCCGGTGAGTATCATCCGAGAGGCCACGCTTACTCGAATTGTTAAGGGGCGGGAAGAATCGACACCATCCACGCTTGTTCCGCTCCGAGTTATGTGGTCCGATTAGCTGAGGACAAGGGCGCTACTCTTACTCATAATCTCACCATCCTTCTCTCTGGATCTCTATTTGGACTGTCAATCTCGTTCTCTCCACGTTTATGAGGATCGCCACAGTCGCATGATTCTTCATTCCTCATTCTTAAATTTTCTACTTTGGTTACTTTTCTTTGGCTGGGAAGGTCTCGGAGATCGAGGGGGTGCTGGCCTTTAATCACTTTTCCCTTCTCTTCTTTTCTGCTCTGTCCCTCCTCTAGGGACAGATCTGCTTACTTGAACAACAATAATTCAACATGGCGCAACTCGACACGCTCGATATTGTTGTCCTGGTAGTGCTCTTGGTGGGTAGCATTGCCTACTTCACCAAGGGCTCCTACTGGGCCGTTCCTAAAGACCCCTATGCCACCGCGAATTCCTCTATGAATGGCGCCGCCAAAGCAGGTAAAACCCGGGACATCATCCAAAAGATGGAGGAAACCGGGAAGAACTGTGTGATTTTCTACGGTTCTCAGACTGGAACTGCCGAGGATTACGCATCCCGACTGGCAAAGGAAGGTTCCCAGCGATTCGGCTTGAAGACCATGGTCGCTGATCTCGAAGATTACGACTATGAAAATCTTGACAAGTTCCCCGAGGATAAGATCGCTTTCTTTGTTCTAGCTACCTACGGTGAGGGCGAGCCCACCGACAACGCCGTCGAGTTTTACCAGTTCATCACCGGTGAGGACGTCGCTTTCGAGAGCGGTGCCTCCGCTGAGGAAAAGCCACTCTCCTCCCTCAAGTATGTCACTTTCGGTCTCGGTAACAACACCTACGAGCACTATAATGCTATGGTTCGGCACGTCGATGCTGCTCTTACAAAGCTTGGCGCGCAACGCATCGGAGCCGCTGGTGAGGGTGATGACGGCGCTGGTACAATGGAGGAGGACTTCTTGGCCTGGAAGGAGCCCATGTGGGCCGCGCTGTCGGAATCTATGAACCTGCAAGAGCGCGAGGCTGTCTATGAACCTGTTTTCTCTGTGATTGAAGATGAATCTTTGAGCCCCGAGGACGATAGCGTCTACCTTGGCGAGCCGACTCAGGGTCATCTCAGCGGCAGCCCCAAGGGTCCCTACTCCGCGCACAATCCTTACATCGCTCCCATCGTCGAGTCCCGTGAATTGTTTACCGCCAAGGATCGTAATTGTCTTCACATGGAAATCGGCATTGCTGGCAGTAACCTCACTTACCAGACCGGTGACCACATCGCTATCTGGCCTACCAACGCGGGTGTTGAAGTCGATCGTTTCCTCGAGGTCTTTGGCATTGAAAAGAAGCGCCATACCGTTATTAACGTCAAAGGTCTCGATGTCACTGCCAAGGTTCCCATTCCGACGCCAACCACATACGACGCGGCCGTCCGCTTCTACATTGAAATCTGTGCCCCTGTCTCGCGTCAGTTCGTGTCCTCTTTGGCGCCATTCGCCCCCGACGAAGAAAGCAAAGCCGAGATCGTGCGCCTTGGTAATGATAAGGATTACTTCCACGAGAAGATCAGCAACCAATGCGTCAACATCGCTCAGGCTCTTCAGAATATCACCTCGAAGCCGTTCTCTGCTGTCCCGTTTTCGCTGCTTATCGAAGGCCTCAACAGGCTTCAGCCTCGTTACTATTCCATCTCGTCTTCCTCCCTTGTTCATAAGGATAAGATTAGTATCACAGCTGTCGTCGAATCTGTCCGCTTGCCTGGTGCGTCCCATATCGTCAAGGGCGTGACCACGAATTACCTACTCGCCCTCAAGCAGAAGCAGAACGGTGATCCCTCGCCCGACCCCCATGGTTTGACATATGCTATTACTGGCCCCCGCAACAAGTATGATGGAATTCACGTCCCGGTCCATGTTCGTCACTCCAATTTCAAGTTGCCTTCTGATCCCTCCAAACCCGTCATCATGGTCGGACCCGGTACTGGCGTTGCTCCTTTCCGTGGCTTCATCCAGGAACGAGCTGCTCTGGCTGAAAGTGGCAAGGACGTTGGACCTACGATTCTGTTCTTTGGTTGCCGTAACAGCAATGAGGACTTCTTGTACAAGGATGAGTGGAAGGTATGTTTGCAGTCTTCATGTGAGCACATTTGGAGCCGCTTGTCTAACTCTTAACAGGTCTACCAAGAGAAACTTGGAGACAAGCTCAAGATCATCACTGCCTTCTCTCGCGAGACCGCGAAGAAAGTGTACGTCCAGCACCGACTGCAAGAGCACGCCGACCTTGTTAGCGATCTCCTGAAGCAGAAGGCCATCTTTTACGTCTGTGGAGATGCAGCCAACATGGCTCGGGAAGTCAATCTTGTCCTTGGTCAAATCATTGCCAGGTCTCGTGGCTTGCCCGCTGAGAAGGGCGAGGAAATGGTGAAGCACATGCGGAGCAGTGGTAGCTACCAGGAGGATGTCTGGTCGTGATTGGCTTGTTCGACAGTTTCATCTACCTTTACTAATGCTTCTTGTCATGACATTTCCCTCTTCTCCTTTTCTCTTTTTTTCTGACGCCTAGATGATATCTGCATATATACACCGCCTGGTTTGATTCTTATTCCTCGTTTTTAGGCGTGTTTTAATGGATGCATGTTGCTCTGTTTTGTGCTTGCCTAGGGTCGGCTCTATGATAGATGGCTACGACCATCGGCTTCAGCAGCTATCATTGATTGGTAAGGATAGAGGATGCAGACATCAGAAGAGGTGACAAAGGGATGAATGAATGAATTCCAGGATATTCTCGAGTCAATATTGAAACAATGAAATGGCACATAAATGGCATTACTCCGTCAGCTCGCGTGTTTGCAATCGCTTCTAGAGATTTGAAGGTAGATCTTAGATCACAGTGGACGTTCTTTCTTTCTGTGGCTGTTGAAGTGAACATCCAAGCTTATGTACCTTAGTGCGGGTCGGCCATAGAGTCGGAGATAAAAATCAGGAATTAATGGAACCCGCAAGCAATCGTCATTCCATAAGTCGACGTTCGGGCCCGATATGACCCTGGCAACTAAAGTAGTAGTTCAAGTGAGCTTTTCCATCTTCCTGCATCCCCATTCGAGCCAGCATTTGAGCATCAGTATCATTAACCTGAAAAGGAGCGATGCAGATTATTGCTATATTTTTTGCACTTGATCTAAGGCTGATCTAAATCTTGTCGCCGGCCGCATTCCTTCCTACCATCCCCGCAGTTATTGGCAAGCATCACGAAAAGCCCAATCCCGGAACTGCTATTGATAGTCGTGGAGACTACGAGTCGGTGCAATGGCATACGTCGTGCCGATTCATAGGGCGAGCAGCATTCGTCATGCTCTCAAGCTGAATTTCATGAATCCGGAGGAGGACTGTCTGGTCGTCGCGTTGGTGACCCTCTAGTATCGGTGACTGATCTCGGGCTATCAGATGGATATCGGCTGACAGTCTTCTATTTGCTGATTACAGGAAGTCTAATCGGCTCGAATTCTACTCTCCCACGCCAGATGGATTGGACCTTGTGGCCTCGTGCGCCATCTATGCGAGGGTGACCATGCTGGCTCGCCTTCCCGCTCCGGCTAATTCCCCTACGGACCATCTATTCGTCGGCACCGATCGATACACCTACTTCACACTGTCTTGGGACAGCTCAGAAAAGCGAGTCCGCACGGAACGCGACTATGTCGACATGTCGGATCCATCATCGCGGGAGTCGCAAACGGGAAACCGATGTTTGATCGACCCAAGCGGACGGTTCATGACCTTGGAAATATACGAAGGTGTTATTGCAGTCATACCGATTATTCAACTACCAAGCAAGAAAAGAGGGAGGGCTGTGGCCTTGCCCTCAGGCCCGGATGCTCCGCGGGTGGGGGAGTTGGGAGAGCCGACAACAGCAAGAATCGAGGAGCTGTTCGTCCGCTCCTCGGCGTTCTTACATGTGCAAGAAGGGCTTCCGCGCCTGGCTCTACTGTACGAAGATAATCAGAAGAAAGTCAGACTGAGGGTGAGGGAATTACAATATCATGCGGCGACCGGAAGCAACAGCACTGCCGACGCTACATTCGGGGAACCGGCGGACTTTACACAAGACCTGGAACTCGGGTCTTCCCACCTGATCCCAGTGCCTGCTCCGTTAGGTAACTTCCCATAAACTCTTTGTTGCTCGCGGATGGGGTCGTTCTCCATGCTAACATAGACAGGCGGGCTTCTCATCCTCGGGGAAATGTCGATCAAGTACGTCGACGCAGATAATAACGAAATTATATCCCGTCCCTTGGATGAGGCGACCATTTTCGTGGCCTGGGAACAGGTGGATAGCCAGCGGTGGCTACTGGCTGACGATTATGGGAGGCTCTTCTTTTTAATGTTGGTCTTGGACTCTGACAGCCAAGTCGAGAGCTGGAAGCTAGACCATCTGGGCAATACATCTCGTGCATCCGTCTTAGTATACCTTGGCGGTGGTGTCCTGTTCCTGGGTTCGCATCAGGGAGACTCTCAAGTACTGCGCATCAGCAATGGACCGTTGGAAGTGGTACAAACCCTGTCAAACATAGCGCCGATATTGGACTTTACGATAATGGATCTCGGCAATCGCTCGAGTGAAAGTCAGACCCACGAATTCTCGTCTGGCCAAGCAAGGATTGTCACTGGCTCCGGCGCCTTTGACGACGGAACGCTCAGGAGCGTCCGCAGCGGAGTTGGAATGGAAGAGCTGGGTGTCCTAGGTGACATGGAGCATATCACGGACCTGTGGGGCTTACGGGTAAGAAGCCCCGGCGATTTCTTGGACACACTTTTGGTCACATTCGTCGACGAGACCAGAGTATTCCGTTTCAGTTCCGACGGCGAGGTCGAAGAGATGGACCAGTTTCTTGGGCTGAGCCTTTCGGAGAGCACACTTCTGGCGGCCAATCTACCCGGTGGGCGAATATTGCAGGTCACTGAGCAGAGGGTGCTCATCGCAGAGGTAGAGGGTGGAATGGTAACTTACGAATGGACTCCACCGAATCAGCTCATTATAACTGCCGCCTCTGCCAACGATGACTCAATTGTTCTTGTTGCAGGCGGCGAGCTTGTGACAGTCTTGGATATTACCAACGAAGTCCAGATCGTGACACAGAAGGACTTTGGGGCAGATAGTCAGATTTCTGGTGTCACGGTACCCTCATCGCCGACCGGGGTCTGTATTGCCGGATTTCCTCAGCTGGCAAAAGTCTCGGTACTAAAGCTTCAGGATCTGTCTGAGCTTCATACGACGTCAGTGGGCCTGGCGGGTGAAGCTTTTCCTCGTTCGGTTCTCGTGGCGAACGTGCTCACAGACAGCCCGCCTACTCTCTTCGTTTCCATGGCGGATGGCAGTGTGATCACTTACTCGTTTAACACGAATGACTTCTCATTGACTGGCATGACCAAGCTAATATTGGGTTCTGAGCAACCTACTTTCAAGAAATTACCAAGAGGCAATGGCTTGTTCAACGTCTTTGCTACATGCGAGAACCCTAGCATGATATATGGATCAGAAGGGCGGATTATATACTCTGCAGTAAACTCCGAAGGTGCCTCCCGGATATGCCATTTCAACTCGGAGGCCTACCCAGAGTCGATAGCAGTTGCGACATCTCATGATTTGAAAATCGCTCTCGTGGACAAGGAAAGAACAACACAAATCCAAACACTCCCGATCGGGGCAACGGTCCGAAGAGTGGCGTACTCGCCTTCTGAGAAAGCTTTCGGTATTGGTACCATCGAACGAAAGCTTGTCGACGGAGCAGAGATCGTCAAAAGCAGATTCGTGCTTGCTGACGAGATATTGTTCCGGCGCCTTGACGCTTTCGAGCTGCGGCCAGAGGAGTTAGTGGAAAGCGTCATCCGTGCGGAGTTCCCGGTGGGCAAAGGTGCAAATGACAGAGATGAGGTCAAGGATCGATTTATCGTTGGGACAGCGTACTTGGACGATGAAGGGGACGAGTCAATCCGTGGCCGCATCCTAATCTTTGAGGTTGACAATGGCCGGAAACTGACTCAGGTTGCTGAGCTACCCGTCAAAGGAGCATGCCGAGCATTGGCCATGCTAGGGGACAAAATAGTGGCTGCACTTGTCAAGACAGTAAGCATACATTCTGTCGTGGTTCACCTCTTTCTAGACTGCCCTGCTAACATTCCACCAAGGTCGTTGTGTATAGAGTCATCAACAACAATTTCGGCGCCATGAGACTCGAGAAGCTGGCCAGTTATAGGACCTCGACTGCACCGGTGGACGTAGCGGTGACGGGCAATTTAATCGCCGTCTCTGATCTAATGAAGAGCATGTGCCTCGTGGAGTATAAGGAGGGCGAGAACGGCACGCCAGATACAATGACAGAAGTTGCGCGCCATTTCCAGACTGTATGGGCCACCGGTGTTGCCAACATCGCTCCTGACACTTTCCTCGAGAGTGACGCTGAAGGTAATTTGATTGTCCTTCATCGTAACACCACTGGTGTTGAGGAGGATGATAAGCGTCGCTTGGAAGTGACAGGTGAGATTTCGCTGGGCGAGATGGTCAACCGCATCAGACCGGTCAACATCCAACAATTGGCCAGTGTGGCTGTTACTCCACGAGCATTCTTAGGCACTGTGAGTTTCTCCCTTGCCTTTCTCACGAATTCTGCGAGACGACTGACCGAATCACTCTCAACCACAGGTGGAAGGTTCTATTTACCTATTTGCTATCATCAACCCTGATCACCAAGACTTCTTGATGCGTCTGCAAGCGACAATTGCAGGAACAGTCGAATTGGTGGGAAATATGCCATTCAATGAGTTCCGGGGCTTCCGCAGTATGGTGCGTGAGGCTAAAGAACCGTATCGCTTTGTGGATGGAGAGCTCATTGAGCGATTCCTCACTTGTGAGCCGAGTGTGCAGGAAGAAATCGTCAGTACAGTGGGCAAAATGAGTGTAGACGAGGTAAAAGGGATGATAGAAGCACTCAGAAGACTGCATTAGATAACTCTTGTTGGTACATTTCTACGGGTCCATCTTAGAATGTTTTTCCCATGATACGATTGAACAATTGCATGGCTTGATGATAGAATAGTGACATTGAATTTTTGAGTATATAGTTCGAGTACATAATCTATGGGCACCTATAAAAACATGAGCCGTGCCTGTCCGTGTCGTCGCTGGTACGTGAACAGAGCCTCAATAACAGAACATGAAGGTATATCAATTATACAGCGGGTGAAGGAAAGCAGATATTAAGAGGGCCAGGAGTAATAAGGCCAAGAGCAACGTGACCAGCTCTGAAGTCGACGAACGGCACCGAAAAATGAGGGTTACCTCTCAATCCTCTTTTTTCTCCTCCTGCTTCTTCTCATCCTCCGATTCACTCCAATCAAGCAATTCCATGAGCTGCTCCTCCGACAACTTCTCCGTCCGCTGCTCCGCTTCCCGTTGCAGTTCCTTCATATACTTCTTCTGGCGCTTCCTTGCGTTCTTCCCCCACTCCGGCACACCACTGGCGGTAGCAAAGTCCTCGTCGCTCTCAATCTCATCGTCCGTATTCTCAACCTCGCCTAGCACTTTGCCGCCACCGGTGGCGCCACCACGCAGTGCATTAGCGGACATCTTGGCCTTGTTCTTTCTCTTGGCTTCTCGCTCTGCCTTTTCCTTCTCCAATTGCTTCTTGCGGTCTTTTTCGGCCATTTTGCGGAACCAGGCTTCGATGTAAGGACGGAGGAGGATGTAAACGACGACGGAGACGATGATTTTCGTCCAGCGCTTGGCGCTCATTTCGACGAAAGATTTATAGAGATTCTTGAAGAAGCGTTTGAAGATTGTTTCGACGAAGGTGTAGAGTTGACCGAAGAAGTCGTTTAGGGCGTCGGATACGACGGAGGAGGATTCGGAGGTCGCCATGGTGGAAGGTGATGTGATCAACAGTCTTCTCTCTCTCTTGTGAGATTTGGAGTGAGGTCTCGTAGATGATGAAACTTGAGGAGAAGTGGACACAATGGAGGAAGGGGAAAAAAGTATCGCAATGCCACCCGCGAAGAAGCGGGTCGGAGGAGAAGGTGGTACGGAGTAGAAGAGATAAGAACCGCTTTCGCTGCGGGATTTAATGTCCCCAAAGCAAGACACGAACTCCAGGGCCTGCTAAGCTTGTCACAGAAGGACGCGCAATAGAAAGGTCTTGCGATTGAGCCTATATCTTGCAAAAGAGTACCTGCGGTCTCGGATAACTCTTCGACCATGAGAATTCCGTAAAAGGTAATATTCTGTTGCGAATTAGCGGGATCTACCTTGGCAGGCACGTGACAGCAGCCAAACACGCGCATGGGCGTCTGAAGCTCCAGGACGCGTCTACCTTTGATGTAGTATATGTTGACACTTTGGCGAGATTAGAGAACCAGTTCAGCGAAAAGTGTCGTTCTTATCGGTACAAACATTTGTATAGCGGCTTTACGTTCTGGACACGGAATTATGGATCCGAATGAGGAAGTCAGCCTTGAAGAGGTATGTAATATCTAGATCGCGCTCTTCGGGGTACGCTGCAGTTGCTAATTCTAATGACCTAGCGTTTGAAATCAGCTCTTTGGCTTTCCATTGGCAAGATTGTTGATGAGGAAACCATCAAGCTCGGTGTCAACGCTACTCCCCAGTTCATCGGAGCTCTGACAGAAATGGTCTGGGCTCAAATTGGTATGTGTATCATGTCAACCTGCTTGTCTGCACCCCAACTCGCTACAGGCGGAAGACACCGTGTTTGTTATACATGAATCATGGAGGATTCGAGCTGATGCCGTTAATTTACAGAAACTGTTAGCCAAGATCTGGAGTTCTTTGCCAAGTGAGTTATTCCTGTCTGGTCTTATTGAATGGGTATAATTGTGCTGCGAATTTGCCTCATGCATGGATGTTTGGACTACAAATTTTCCTGAACGCCGGCTAACCAGGTGGCACCGATGCAGGCATGCCGGCCGCTCTACGATCAACGTCTCTGATGTGATGTTGCTTGCGCGCCGCAACGAAGGGCTAGAATCGATTCTTCGAGCTTTCATCGATCAACAGCGAGAAGAGGAATCCTGATCCGAGTCGTGTAACAGTGCCTGCTAAGGCACAACTTGTGCACTCACACGGTGGATCGGCTCGATTTCTATTGATGGATCGAATACGCCAATCAAACCCTAACCAGTCCCAATCGGAAAAGGGTAGGTTCTTTTGAACTGTTTTCGAGTAACCTATGGCGAATCACTCATGTAGCCGATGTATCTGCGCCTGTCATAGTGGGAGCCCGCCAAGATATCTCCCCAGTTTCATTATGACGCCACTTCCCCACATTTATGCCCGCATAAGATACCGTCGCTTGCAAGGCCACTGGAATCCGATTTGATAGACGCCACAGCTGCCATTGCGGCGTCTGCTTCGTTGCGGGGAACTTGAGCTCGACCACCTTGATACCGGAGTTTTTGCCTGCGTTCCCTCAGAACGGCTCATGGTAAACATCGGAAGAAGTTTATTAGCGAATCGGCTGCGTCTGCTTTCCCCACGAGCTGATGGCCACAAATGAGATCTCGAAGCCATGAGTGCACCTGATGATTCATATCATTAATGGTGTAACTATGATCAATCGGCGATACAGGGTGACTACCAATGAAACGCGCCATCCAACGTATATACTTTGACTCATGAGCTTCTTGAGGTTTTACCAGATCATGCTCAGGATATCTGATATAATCTAACGTCATTGCAACGTTCTTTGAGCATTGTCCTTGCTTCAATAACAGTCTTGACTATATATGTACTCGTAGAAGTCATCTTTGTCCAGCCGCTGATTTAGAAGAATCAGTTAAAACTTTAATGGCGACACTGCTATACAACTTTGTCAGCAAAATCTCTGATCGTTCCTGAAGGCCGATTGACATATTAGAACAGGCAAACCTTCAAAATGCTGAACACTACGATTGACTCTGTGAATACGCTACGAACCAGGCTCAAGACAACGCCTACAATGAAGTCGGTTCGCTTCCACGGTCCTGGCGATATCCGAATTGAGGAAATTGACGAGCCAACTTGTGGCAAGGGCCAGGTCAAGGTACATCAGATTCTACCTCAGCAACGGATTTCACTGATGTATTGGAAATATAGTTGCGGCCGGCCTTCGTGGGGATATGTGGCAGTGGTAAGTCTGACCAGCACTGATTCAAGCTTCGCAGATGTAAATCCGCATAGATCTTCATGAGTATAGAGCCGGCCCCGTTCTTATCCCAAAGGAGCCACATAAGATTACGGGGACTTCTTATCCTGTGACATTGGGTCATGAGTTCGCCGGAGTCATTGAAGAAGTCGGCGAAGGGGTAACGCATCTATCACCTGGACAGCGAGCAGTGGTTCGTCCAACGATCTTCGACCGACATTGCTGCTCCGGTAAACTGGGCTATGAGTACTGCTGCGAGAATATTGGGTTTATTGGATTATCCGGTAAGATGCGCGTCCAATCCCGTATACATCGGGCCCCTAAAACTGAACACTTGTATGATATGGCGGCGGAATGGCGAAGCACACCGTGGCGCCCGCTGAGCACTTTCCGCTTCCTGATGATGTGTCTCTCGAGGCAGCAGCGCTGATCGAGCCGCTGGCCGTTGCATGGCATGCCGTCAACCTATCCCCCTTCAAGGGAGGGAATAACGTCATGGTTGTTGGAGGAGGTCCAATTGGGATTGGAATTGTACAAATCCTGAAGCTTCAGGGAGCCAAGAAGATCATGGTAGCCGAACTACTCGACAACCGCAAGAGGTTCGCCCTCGAGTATGGAGCCACGGAAATTATCGACCCTCGCACATGCGATGTACCGGAGAAAGTGCGGGAGTTGACAAATGGCGTGGGTGCGGATGTCATCTTCGACACTGCAGGAGTGGAAGTCGCCTTGAATGGAGCCATCTCTGCATGCCGTGTCCACGGCACTATCGTGAACATCGCCGTCTGGGAGAAACGGCCTTCTATACGCGTAAACGAGTTGATGTACCATGAAGTTAACTACACCGGCGCAGCGCTGTACGATGAGAGCGCTTTTCGAAATGTGATCCAAGCACTGAACTACGGTAAGTTCACAACCGCCTGAAGTTGAGTCGGTTGGTTGACACGAAAGATTCAGGTCAATTGAAACCCGAAGGGATGATCACAGCAAAGGTAACAATGGACGAGGTTGTCGAAAAGGGCTTCAAAACGCTTCTTGAAGATCGTGGTGAGCATTGCAAGATCCTGGTCGATGTGCAGGCATCATGACTGTATTCCCTTCCTTTCGCATTCACAATTGTCGATATTTTCCGCACAATTCCCCCAACTTCGTTCTCTGTACATAATTGAGTCATGATTCTCTGTACATAATTGAGTCATGACGATGTGACGATGTTCGACTCGATTTTGGTGGGAGCCTGAGGATGGCTGTGCACTGTGGCTGAGGCATTTGCGATGTGGCTCAGTCTTTATTACCTAATCCATTGCATCAATTTTGCTGAGAGATTTCCTCTTCCGGATGCACTAAAAATATTCTGTAGCTTTTTTCACATGAGGACATAGTTTGAGTGAACATGGAATGATGAAGTCGAATCATGGAACGTTGGGAGGGCACAGTACCTCTCTCCTATGCCACAGTGGAAACGAACATGAGACCAGGGCACCATGACTTCTTGTGGACCAGGAAGGCTTAGTCCTCCACAATAACGACCAATGACGAAAAAAGGGTCCAAGTAGTGACATCAGCAGACTCCCATACTAATAAGGTCGTGATGGAGAGCTTTTCCCTTTGCCGCCCCATCTTCCAATCACTATCAAGCGTTTCTCGTCATCTGCGGATCAACATCACGATCTTCTGGATACTCAACGGATGGCGGCCTGTGAGAAGCTCTCATCGCTGGTTCTGGGGTCCATCGTCCCCTTGGCACCCAGCAAATGCCTCCACCGATCTTCATGCTGCGACACCTTGTCCCCTGGGACTTATTACAAGTGCAATCTTGCTGCCTTCGACGGCTGCATCTTTTCAATCTCTGCACTCTTTTATTCTCCCTGAAGGATCCCATTGCCTGCAGCGCATTTCTGTGAGATTCGCAGTTACACGAATCGCGTTTACTGGCTGTCTTTCTTCAAAAATATACCTCTACCCCAGTCGAATTTCATAAATCACCATCGATTGTTTATTCACGACCTCTCGCCTAGTCGCGAGTGAGATATCGTCAATATGGGAGCCGGCGGCGTCGTTATTCGCTTTTTCAATTTAGCAATCCGAGTGCTCCAATTCCTTGCTGCCGCAGTCATCCTGGGGATTTTCTCATACTTCCTGGCTGTCCAGAGCCAACATAACCAGCCCATTCCAACATGGATGAAGGCCGTCGAGGGACTTTCCGGCGCAGCAACTTTGTACGGACTACTCGGATTACTCTTCACCTGCTGCGTGGGAGGGCTTGCATTCTTCGCCTTCCTGGCTATCGTGCTTGATGTGTGCTTCATCGGAGCGATGATCGCCATCGCCGTGATGACCCGTAACGGAACCCAGTCCTGCTCCGGGAACGTCAGTACTCCTGTGGGCTCCGGCGCTGATAATGTCGACAGCGCATCTGGCGTCCGGCTGGGATACGCCTGCATGCTCGAAAAGGTCACTTTTGCGGTCTCAATTATCGGAATGTAAGCAAAACAATCCCTCTCTAGCCTATTCATCAAGGCTCTTTACTAATCTGTGAACGACCAGTTTCCTCTTTTTGATCTCGATTCTCTTCCAATTCCTCTACGCCCGCCACCACAAGCGCGAAAAGCGTTTCGGCCCTTCCCCAGCCAACGGGTACACCTACGGCACCGGCACCCAACGCCGTGGATTCTGGCGCCGCAACAAGCGTACCCCGGAAACCGCCAGTGCAGACGACATGCTTCCTGGGCACCCTACCCCTGCCGACGTCGAAATGGGCGGTAACGCCGAGAAGCCCGGCGTCTTCGGTGGTCGCTTCTTCTCGCGCAACAACAATGCTGCTGCTAATGGCTATACTGGCTCGGCCTATACCGGCAACTATTGATCATGGTCATCTTCCCCGTGCGATTCGGTTTTCCATTGCGTTGGAATGCGCGAAAACACGCGTATATGCGTGCATAATGTATTTGGCCGAGCCTCGTTTGCTGAGTGGAGTTGGGATTCAGTTCTGCCGGAGGAAATCAGGTCTATGATTGAATGAGCTAGTTGATGATACCATTTCTAATACATGTATCGTAGTTGCCCCGTGGAATTGATACGACTGAGATAATAATTTGACATTTTTAGGATCATATTACATCCATCTACCTAGAGCAGCGAACGCAGGGCAGATTAATAATTAATCAATTAATGGCCCTTGACAGGAAGTACACAAGAAATAACAAGACCGACACTCAAAAACTGGAACGACCTCTCACATATAGCAACCACGAGAACACAAACTAGAATTAAGTATGGTATGTGCATACACCGAAAAATTGAAGGCAAATATTAAAGGAAAGGGGAAGACTGATGACAACCCTACGTACGCTCGATAACACCGTGGCTGCAGCGCGTACCGGCGGCAACAGGTCCCATCTGAACAGGTTTGCCCCAGTCGCACTTCGCCCATGTCTGACCATCGGCCCCGCACAGGATCTCGCCGTGTTCGCAAGTTTCCGGGAATTCTTGCGAGGACGCAGCCTCGGAAGGCTTTGGCTTAGGGGCATGCTCAGGTTCGGGGTTGTCCTTGGGCTTGGCTTTGGGTGCAGACTCTGGCTCAGGCTTATACCCAAGCTCGGGCTTGGCCTGAGACTCAGTTTGAGGCTTGTACCCAGACTGGGCGGCAGACTGGGATGACTGAGGCTTGTATCCAGACTCAGCGGCCGCTTGAGAAGACTGGGGCTTGTACCCAGAGTCTGGGGCAGATTGACCAGACTGGGATGACTGAGGCTTGTATCCAGACTCAGCGGCCGCTTGAGAAGACTGGGG